AATGTGTCAGTTGGAGTGGTCCGTTGTCTAGGCCAGATGGAAGGCTTTAACAGCATGTCATACTGGTTCGTTCGCTTGCACGTAATGGCTAGCTTTGCGTTCCTCATTGCTGGCAAGCGTCTATGATAGATCGAATTAAAGTAATCATCAAGTAATCTGTTTTTCCTGAGCAAGAGGCACGTATCGAAAGCCGCAGATTGTTTGGCGACGGCCTTTCTCATTGCTGGGCTTCCAGTCAGTCCTCGAATGGGCGACTTTTCAGGCAATATCACTTCGCAAACATAGGCGCTGCTGACAGGCGAGACCACATAGGTTACCTGAGGTACTGTTTCCTTCTCGTATTGCTGTTCAATATTGATATCAGACTTTCATGAAGGTCAAGGCCAGACAAAGCTTACCAGAGAACTGGCATAACGCGCAAGAATTGCAATAGCGGAATGATATGTGAGCTTTGCTCCTGTACTTTTCACAGTAAAGGTTCGTCTTCCTTCCTCTTCCTCTTCCTGAAGTAGCGAATCCAAGTCGTGGCCGTTGCCGTGCAGTACTCGATCTTCGGGGAGAGTTTCACAGAACCTCTGCATAATTTTCTGATCCGTCAGACCCATTCAAAGAGGACAAAGATCTAAAAGTTGACTTACTTCGTCCTCGCGAACCTCTTTAAGCCGTCCTTCATGCTCCGCGTTGTCCTTTTCGACCATAATCGCGTACTGCGCGTAGACAAAGTCAGAGGCTACTCGAGACAATCAACCAGGTCAAGTAACGTACCGTGGAGGTGCAATGTCTAGCTCGTCCTCGGCTTTGTACGTATTGGATAAGTGTGCGATAAAGATCGAATCTTGGTGAAGTTACTAAATATTCGGGAACATTAACGGTGCCGTAATATACCTGACGACCAGATTGCAATCTGGGATATCAAGACCCTCTTCCGCCACTGATGTAGCAAACTTCTACACGTCAGATGAGTCACCTCTAGAGCATTTTCGCGGAGTATCTCACCAAGCAATTAATCTCTCCCTTTCTGAATTTCACCAAAGCAAGAAACTGTTGCCGAAACGTAATGTTCATGCCACCGATGTCACCAGGCCTAACGCCAATGAGAACCCCTGGACGCAAATGAGGAATTTTCAGGACTGCAAAAAGCTCATTGAGAATTTTGGCAGTGTAGCGCTTCTGCGTAAAGACGATACATTTTGTTCCTGTCGCATGGCTGAAGTGTTTGCTGAGTTCCATGCGGAGAAGCTGCACTTTAGGGCTGAGTTCACCTGGGATATCGGGATCCGCAAAAGAGTAGTTCTTGACGGTATCACTTGCTTCTCTGATGCGTATAATATCTTTAAAACCAGCGCCATGTTCTGCATTCGAGGTGTTCAAATCGACAAGCTTACTGATGTTACCCTCAAGTTTAGGCAACACATCGTCTGACAAGGCATGCCACCATGCTCTGTCCGAACACCACTTCCCCAGTTCTGAGGTGGCATGCCAGGCAAATCTAAAGACTCCTTCGAGTACCTTGATATTGCCATAGCGAGCATCCATGAGCTTATAAAGTTCTGTTGCGAAAGCTGACTCGAGCTTGTTGTACGCCCACACTTTCTCTATCGGGCGACTGACAACTTCCCGCAAGAGTGTGATCTTTGAAGTTGTGGCGATTCGACTATCCAACAAAGTCTCTAGTCTCCTACAGGTGGTTAGTCTAATACCCCCTTGTTCACTGGCTGGGAACATACGTCGCGGCTTCTGTGATGTCGCCTTTTGTGTCGATTGGCGAAGCTGTCATTCCGAAGACCCGTGGACGCTGAGAAGACTGTGCCTTAAAATAAGAATCCCTGATAATGCTTTGGTAAAGTTAGTATTAGCTTTGGGATCTGAAGTGTACCACGAACCGGGCATATGGGTGATCTTTCTTCGCATGATGAGCTTCATCAAAGATCAGAAGGTTTATTTGATCCATCTTTACGTATGAATTGAGCAAGCATTGGTGAAGGATCTCCGCTGTGCAAACTATCACCATGTTCTGCTGCAAATGCTCATCCCAGGTCCGTTTATCCCATAGGTCGGTGCCCATGGCTCCAAAGAAGTGCGCAACATTCTGGTCAATATTATTGCGCAAAACGGCCGCCTGCTGATATGCGAGTGTGACGCTGTCGACCTTGCAACAAGTAAATATACATCTCACCAAGGCTAGCAAAACAAATACCAGAAAGAACGATACACGATGCGGCCTTCCATCCGCGCGGTTATCCAGCTCGTTCAGGATGGTATGTCTCAGCAAAAGCACGGCGATCAATGTCTTTCCCGATCCTACAACTGGTCAGCAAAAGGTTCACATAACTGAAGAGCAGGAGAAAAATGCTGAAAGCTCGCGTTCATGGCAATACCTGTATCAAGAACGGCAATTGTGTTTTGTGCCTTGGCCCGTTCGAACAGCTCAATCTGGTATTCTCTCGGATCCAACATCCCGCTTCCCAGATCTTGCTTTGCTACCAAATGAGCGATGGATAGCTCACCGTCTGATAAAGCTATTGGCGCTCTATCCATGGCATCGTTGGAATCTGTACCGGCGCGCTTGGACAGCCTGCGTCTAAGTCAGCAGTAGCTTAGGAGGTATCTCCGACAAGGGGTACTGACAGAGCTTCAAATTGAGTGTTCTGGACTCGTCGTCGCTGTGAGAAATCATTTTGATTGGGCATGTCTTCATCATCATTATCAGAAACGCCTGAAGAGAGCTCATCTTTGTGAACATCAGCACTAGAGACTGCTGGGTCGCTTGCAGCAACATCGTTTATGAAGAGGTCTCGTAACAGTGCAACATTGCTGGAGTCCTCGCCTTTCAAAGACACAGTTGACGATACATCCACCAGAGAGATTTGTTCAGTCATGGTTGAGGAATTATGAAATGGCTGTTGGCGAAGGATGGAGGAAGCGCCGAAATATATTGTTTTTACTTCATGAGGAGGAGATGATTAAGTATACAGGGGGAATGAATATGGTTGTATCTATTACGAGGAGAAGAAGAACTGGATTTGGAGAAGAGGAGAACGAAGAGTGAAGATAGAGTGAATGTTTAAAGAACTAGGGAAGCTCTATAGCATAGTCGTTTGAGGTCATATTGATCGCAAACAGAAGGGTTTGCACACAAACCAAGGATTCTGCTCATGATGACTCTGTTTCAGTCTGTTACCCGCTACTACCCTGATGGAAATTTTTACACATTGTCACTCATAATGATAATGGAAGCTGTAGTGGAAAAAGCTAGCCCTTGAGACCGAACCTGAGTATATCCCGACACCAACGCTGTTGATAAGAGCTCTGACCAACTGATTGCGGGGCGCGCCGCGGGGCGAGACCGATAATATCATTTTTGCGCAGGCCCGATCGCCAGGTACCACAACGAAGCTTGTTCTTGTCGATTATCGTTGTCATATCGTCATTGCCCAAGATGGAGCAACCTCAAAGCCTCCGATCGCTATTTACTGCTGCAAAGGCTGAGAAAGCCTCGTTGGAGTCGCGGCCCGACTCCAATTCTGACTCCTATCACAAGGATGTTAATGAAACGATAGCGAAGTTTGAGGAATGCCAGCGCCTCGTTGGCCAACTCTCCTTATTCAGCTCGAACGAACCTCTAGAGGATATTGCAACAGGGGATATACAGTGAGTGAAATTACTGCTGGAGCTGTGACGCGCTTCTGCTCATGACTTGTACTTCTCTGCAAAGGTACCTCACAGTGGATTATCTCCTCGCAGACATTCTCCAACGTACCTATACGTCAGACCGCGAATCTACCATCCGGCGTGCTTTGGAACTATATGAGAAATACCTTTCGCGGTTAGATGACTATGGACTTCTTAATGACAACGAGAAGAAGCTACACGAACGCTACATATCAAATCCCTCGTCTTTCTCCTTGACTCCGACTAATGACGCAGCCACCCGAAGAGAAGTGAAGCTATCAAGGTTTCGGGAGGAGAAAGAGCTGAAACAACGGCTTGAGGTTTGTTCAATGGCTCTTCCATGGTTGTGAGCCTTACTTACCTCTCAACAGTATTTTTCAAACAATCAGAGCCAACTACAAAGTGATGACGAAGACGTTCGGAAACTTTACCTGGCAGAAATCAATCTATACACGCATCAAGCCTTCCAGTCGATGGATTTACTCTCCCAAGAACTTTCAATGCTTTCAGCAATTCGCAATAACCCTCCCAATCCCGCTGAGCTCCCGCAGGACGATCCCAGGCGACGAAGCAACAATGCTGAATCAGGTTTCTCGGAGCGTCTCGACCCGCCTTTGTCTCAGCTCCTCAGAGGTGGAAAGTCCGGAGCGATACTAAGTAGAGAAGGAAAGCCATTGCAGCCTTTTACTTTACTGGATCGCCGCACTCAACTCCAACAGGGCGTGTTTAGGTCCGGCCATAATCTCCCCACGATGACGATTGATGAGTATCTTGAAGAAGAAAAGAGAAGAGGTGGTATAATTGAAGGTGGAGAAAAGTCTGGTATGAAAGAGGAAATAGACGAGGATGACATGGACAAGGCAGACGAAGAGACAATGAAGGCTCGAGCCTGGGACGAATTCAAGGAGGCGAACCCAAGAGGCTCCGGAAACACCTTGAATAGGGGATGATGTCTTGCCGTTGAAGTTCGTCAACATGAGATGTGCCTAGAAATGGACGCTTTTGGAGCCGATATCCCTCGTTGTGCTATGCAAGTCGTTGCTAATGATAATATCTAAACCCATAGTAAAATACGACTCGTGACGGCCCAAGTTTTCATGTCGAGAAAATTCAAAGGGATTATTTGTTTTAAGGAAGAATTCCTGAAGACGAGGTGGAAGAACGTGCTTATATACACCTATGAAAGCTGGGCTAGTGCATTATACTTTTTTTTACATGGGGTATACATGGGGTATCGGCCCACTGTCTTCTTGCTAAGACTAGGGAGAAGACCAGCATCTCCAATTCGGTGAGATTGGATACTTTGCTCATCCACCAACAGTTCGTTCTCAAGGTGTGAGCTTTTTGCGTTGGATCTCCGCAAGGATCTCCCCTGCGCCCTTTTCTACCAGTGCCTTCGCAACGGTCACACCGAACTCTTCAGCGGATTCTGCCGTATCAACTGACCCGTCTACTTCAACCTCAGCACTTTCACGACCGTCAACACTGACGACTATGGCCCTCATTCTCAGCCTGGACGACCCATCGGAACCCTGGACCCACTCCGTCTCAACACCAAGAGGGGCACTGCAGCCACCCTCAAGAGTTCGCAAGAGGCTGCGCTCTGCGAGGCAGGCCATAGTCGTTTCGTGATGACCGATAGACTTGAGCATATCACGCATAAGCTTATCATCTTTGCGAATCTCAACACCGAGTGCTCCTTGGCCAACTGCGTAGAGCATCCCGCCATTCTTAGAGTCAAGGTACTGGGATATGCGGTCCTCCAGTCCTAGTCTCAACAGACCGGCGGCAGCCAATATAATGCAAGTAAATGGACTATCCTCAGCATCTAGTTTCGCTAACCGAGTGCCAATGTTGCCGCGCACATCCTGGACCTTCAGGTGAGGGTATCGGCGGGCGATTTGAGCAGTGCGGCGGATGGATGAAGTACCCACGACCGATCCTGCGGGCATCTCGGAGAAGGTCATATTGGGCAATCCATTCTTCATCACCAGAACATCCCTTGTATCTTCTCTCTCCATCATGGGGCCCAATGTACATGACGAAGGTAGTTGAGTTGGTACATCTAAAATCGATTATCGGTCAGCAGCAAGCATTATAGCAATCTGAGGCAGGCGTGATAAACCTACCCTTCAGTGAATGAACAATGAGATCGACATCACCAGCCATCAAAAGCTCTTCCAACTCCTGCGTCCAGAGGTTCTTTGTAGTGAATTCGCGGAGAGCAATAACTGTATTCTTATCACCCGCTGTCTCCTGAGAATGTATTTGAAATGTATATTCTGGCCATGACTTCTTTAGAGCTGCAACAACCAGATCGGTTTGCATAAGAGCAAGCTTAGATTTGCGTGTCCCTATCGTGAAGGTTCTCCGCGACGAGGAATTTGCGGCCTCGGAGGAAGGCGGGGCAGATGCCATTGCGATAAGTATTTCAAATTGGAAGGGGAATGAGCTTTGCTTCGGAACGGCACTACAGACGATCGGAAGGTTTAGTCAACGGGGATAAATGTGCAGGATATCTGGTGAACAAAAATTTAAAGGGTCGAGTGTCTTCAAGTTGAAAGCCAATCAAGTATCTCTCTAATCATAAGATATCTCTGGGAAATTTGAAGCTGGTCTGGCGGGCAATCAGTAACTAACGAAGGTTACCGCCTTCCGCTCTGAGGCACTGTCACAGGTTGTACCGTAAGGTACCACCAATAACCGTAAAGTTATCTTACCACGGCTGAAATACTCATACAGACCCCCGTGATCCATCATCAACAGATGGAGTGACTGCATGACAGTTCCTTTATCACTGCAGACCACAGAGAATTCAGTGACGCTTATTGAGAATCTTGCGTGGGTAGTACCTGAACTGGTTATTGACGTATATCTAATCTGCTACAACCAGGTCAACAGCCTGGGGCTGGTACATGAATCCCCGGATCTGACTGACGTAGATCACGCGAACCTCGGCTTCGGGAAGCGCTTATCGCTTCAATCGCCTCCCCAGAGTCACGGACTACATCCATGGAGTTCTGGAACCTCTCCGCGGACTTAAAACCAATCGTCCGACACCCTACAGCCCATTTATGTTAATTAACTGGCTTCAACTGAACGCTGTATCCTCGTACTCTTATACTAATAGCTCGGTTTGATATTAACTCAAGTTGTGTTTTTCGGATTTGGGTGGCCGAAATGGGTTCCAACAACGGAAGAGCGACGAAGTTAGCTTTAGTCCCTTTACCCAAAGGCTCTGTATTGCTCCCTGGCGTCACTCTACGCATACCTGTGTCAAATCGCCCTGATCTTGCCAACCTTCTCTCAACTCTTCTTGATCAGACAAATCTGGGAAAGCGGGATGGGAACTCTATCACATTCGGTTGCGTACCTTTGAGTTCGCCATTGCTGAGCAACGACGGCCAGCAGCTGATCGATGACGGAAGTTTGGATGGTGCTAAGAAGGAGGAATATGATGCTATAGATGCAGGTCAGGCAAGAAAAGAGGATCTCTTCCGGTACGGCACGGTCGGCAAAGTGATAGGGGTGCAACGACGTGCCTATGCAGAGCCATTCCTCGTCGTCCAAGGAGTTCAACGTTTCACCATCAAGCACATCTTGAAGGAGAGGCCCTTTTTCGAGGCAGAGGTGGTACTACACAATGAACGAGGTTGGTGCAGAAATCTATTTGCCGTTCAAGATATATTCTGCATTGCAGCTAATAACAAGTCGATAGATGCCATTTCCAACGATGCAGAGACCGTTGAGTTGTTCCAGCAGTTGAGACAACTCTCTCGCGAACTCATAACCCTCCTACGGCTGTCGTCTCTACTACCTTCGACTGGCACGCGCCTATCGCCGCTCGTTGCTCGTAAATTCGAGGTGTACATTACTAAGACGGATCTATCGCAGGCAGGCAATCTTGCCGACTTTATGGCAGATGTAGCTGATCCTACCTTCGAGGAGAAACTCCACGTATTGGCTTCTTTCGCCCTGAGAACTCGGTTGGAAAGAGTCGTCGAGCTCTTGGGCCGGCAGGTTCAAGGAATCAAGAACAGCGTCAAAGTTACTACGATCTCCACCTCATCATTCCCGCCAAATTCTCCGTTTGATATTAGTCAGATTGATCCTCGAGATCGTGAGTTGTTGGCAAGGCGAGCAATGGCCGGCTTGACGGGCTTGACTCCCCCTGGAGCCGCAGGCGGACGTAACAACGAGGAGGAAAAGGAGACAAACGAAGTTGATGAATTGCAAAAGAGGCTCCAGGAGGCAGGGCTCAGTCCCGAGGCTCGGAAGGTTGCTGACAAGGAATTGCGACGTCTTCGAAAGATGAACCCGGCAAACGCCGAATATGGCGTCTGCCGAACATATCTCGAAAACATCGCCGATATTCCCTGGACCAAGGTCACCGAGGACAAACTCGGGCCCGAGACGCTGAAGAGAGCAAGGAAGCAGTTGGATGAGGACCATTACGGTCTTGAGACGATCAAGAAGAGACTGCTTGAATACTTGGCTGTTTTGCGACTAAAGCAGTCAACCAATCAAGATGTTGAGCGGCAAATTGCTGCACTCACCAAGGAACTTGATGCTGCCAATGAAGCGCACGTCGAGAAGGACGTGCCTGCATTGTCCGAGTCAGACAGAGTCTCCCTTGAAGCAAAATTGAATCTGCTTCAGTCAAGACGTATGGCTGATAAGTCTCCGATCCTGCTGCTCGTTGGTCCACCTGGTACCGGCAAGACGAGCTTGGCAAGATCCGTAGCCACGTCTCTCGGACGCAAGTTCCACAGGATTTCGCTTGGTGGTGTGAGGGACGAGGCTGAAATCCGAGGCCACCGGAGAACCTACGTTGCTGCTATGCCTGGCCTGATCGTGAACGGTCTCAAAAAAGTTGGCGTTGCCAATCCTGTATTCCTCCTTGATGAAATCGATAAAGTGGGCGGGGCCAATTTTCAAGGGGACCCATCCGCAGCAATGCTGGAGGTCCTGGATCCTGAGCAGAACTACACATTCGTGGATCATTACATCAACATCCCAATTGACCTGAGCAAGGTTCTCTTCATAGCCACTGCCAATTCTCTTGATACCATACCCGCGCCGCTACTCGATCGCATGGAGACAATTACTCTATCCGGTTACACAACTGTTGAAAAGAGACATATCGCCAAGCGACATCTGATTCCAAAGCAGATCAGAGCCAATGGCTTGTCCGAGGGTCAAGTCATTCTTTCTGATGATGTCATCGACAAAGTCATCACCTCTTACACAAGAGAGTCGGGTGTGCGGAACCTTGAGCGCGAGTTGGGCTCAATTTGTCGACACAAGGCTGTTCAATATGCAGATGCGGTTGATAATGGCAGGTTAGATACATACAACCCTGTGGTTGCCCTTGGCGACCTGGATGACATTCTCGGAATTGAACGCTTTGACGAAGAGATTGCCGAAAAGCATGGTCGGCCAGGCGTCGTAACCGGTCTTGTTGCGTACTCGACTGGGGGCCAGGGTAGTATCTTGTTCATTGAGGTTGCGGACATGCCTGGCAACGGTCGCGTTCAGCTTACAGGCAAGCTTGGCGATGTACTGAAGGAGAGTGTGGAAGTCGCCTTGACCTGGGTCAAAGCTCATTCTTTTGAGCTCGGTCTTACACACGATCCCAACGACGACATCATGAAGAACCGGAGCTTGCATGTCCACTGCCCAGCAGGAGCGATTCCCAAGGATGGTCCCTCTGCTGGACTTGCTCATACAATCGGCTTGATCTCCCTTTTCACAGGCAAAGCTGTGCCTCCCCAGATCGCGATGACTGGTGAAGTCTCCCTCCGAGGACGGGTGATGCCTGTTGGAGGTATCAAAGAAAAACTGATTGGAGCACTGCGTGCCGGTGTCAAGACTGTCCTTCTACCTGAGCAGAACCGGAAGGACGTCAAGGATGTACCGCAAGAGGTCCATGATGGCTTGCAGATTGTCTATGTCAGGTAAGACATGATTGATTCTCACATTGGAAAAGCGTAACTGATCACTGACATATGTTGACCACAGGCATATTTGGGAAGCTATTCGTCAAGTCTGGCCTGACGCCCATTGGCCTGGACAACACCACATGAACTTTGTTGAAAGCCGGCTGTAGAGTTCTTCTTCGACTTAAACTTCTATGCTCTGAATTCTACTCATACTTTTGCATTCCTCTTCATTGCTTGCGCTGACCATTGACCATTTTAGCTCATATCACCATGTCACTCACTCTTTCTTGTATTAGCGTATTCAAAGCCAATCTCTCTAGCATAGCGTCTTATATAGCCTAGTCAATGACCATCTTGGTTTTACTTCTTTCCTGTTACGTCCATTTGAACATGCTGAAATTGGAGTCTCTGGCGAAAAACTGCACCCCTGAATATCATACTTATAGTCAGATGAAATTTCGACATATGGTACAAGGTTAATGAACATGTAAAAGAAAGGGATCTGGGAAAAGGAAAGGCCCCAGAAAAGAAGCAAGTTTCCGCTTTTCTATCCCCAGAATGAACGAAGCAGAACAGAAAAAGAAGGCATCTATGAACTTGTCGAAGTCGAATCCTTGGCTGCTTTGAATATCGACCGGTCATAGTTGAGTCCCAATGCCTGCCAAGTCGGTCTCCAGGTCTTCGTGCCGTCCAGCAGCTGCTTCGCCTCCTTGGCGTATTCTTCGCGCTCGGTTTTGTTGGGCTCCATGGCAGCGTCGGGTCGTTGCGAGCGTTGAATTTCTTCCTGATACTTCTCCGCGTTGAAGTACTGATCCTTCTCCCATCTGTTCCAAAGTACATTAGCACACCATCCACTTCGCCAGAATTCCATAAAAGATAAATGCAAAAAGGGTAAACATACGGTGACATATCCGTCGGCGCCTCGGGCCACACGAAGGGCTCTTTCATTTCCACTGTCATCTTCTTCTTTGACATCGGTCTCCTTAAACGGCCGTATCCGAACTTGCCCAGGGGCCGCAGGCGGGTCACTTTCTGTTGCTCGACGTAACTGCGGATGCGAAGGACACCGACGCCGTATAAGCGCTGCAGGTAGTCGCGCATATCCAGCTTGTTGAAATTCAAGGGCACGTAGAATGTGGCGTATCGCGGGGGAAGGAAGGGTGTGCGTATGAGGGCGATTGTAAAGTCAGGACTACATCGCGATTATATTGTCAGCCCAAGGATACAAAGGTGTCCAAGCGAGGAATCAGAGGAGGCTCATTGAGTTTTTGAATCAGCCTTGGTGAACTTACAGAAATACCTGCTTCCGCATCGACAGCGGCGCCGAAGGGGGCACCCAGCCTGCGGGCTTTTTGGGGAATTTGGAGAATTTGCGCACCATCTTGACTCTATATCTCCAGGCTTCAACTGTGAAATTGGAAACCGGGTAGATGCGCAAAAAGTGATGGGTATATGAATAGGGTTCGTGCTCGATTG